GGCGCCGACCTCAGGGGGCGCAAAAATGGGTTGGAAAAAGTAATCGAAAGTTTGAAGGGGGAGGGGGGTGCACATCGAACATTTGAGGGGTGGGGGGCGGAAATTGAAAGTTTGAGAGGGGTGCAAATCAAAAGTTTGTCCCCGGGCGCCGTGAAGGGTCGCTACGCCTCTGACTCCGACCTGTTAGAGCTCAGGAATCCAACTATGAACTACGATTGCTGCAGGGTCGCTTCCAGCCACACCCTGATTGCTTAGATGGCCTTAAGGAAAACCACAATGTATTTTTACTTTCTCGTATATACGAAGTATAGAGAAAGTATTGTAATCGTGCAAAAAAATCTCTTGAAATTTTAACCATTTTCACCGTATTACACCTCAGTCCTTCATCACATCCGAAGTATAGAGGACTTATTTTAATCGGGCAAAGATTATCAATCCAGATTTACCAAAATTAAGAGGTTTTATGCGTAATCCATTCTGAAAAACTGGGCTTTGCAATTCTGTCCGTATGTCTGTGTGTCTGTGTGTGTGTCTGTGTGTGTAAACACGATTACTTGAGTACCGTTACAGCTAGGTTGATGAAATTTCATATATAAGTATTTTATCAAAATCGTAGATCCGTATCAACTTTTTAGAGATTTCCGATAACCGGAAGTGGTACTTTTTCTACTTTGAATGTTTCAAAAGCTTATAACTTGAGTACTATTCCAGATAGATAAATGAAATTTCACATGTGAGTAAAAGATCTAATTTTCTACCTTTTGTTAAATTTTGAGTAATTTTCGTTGACCGGAAGTAGTAATTTACGCTACTTCCGATTTCTCAAAAAACTAATGTAAATTTTTAAAATACTAATAATATTGCGCACTATTATGCACTTTTCTATTTGGCGTTCACTTGGTGAGTGTGCAATTCTTTTGTCTACAAGATTTTATTCTATTTTTAAAACTTTAAGTATTTAAAATGGATTAAAAATCATATCTATAACCCGAGTTCCCATCCCCTGTTGTTTTATATATTCGAGAAAGTTTAGGGGAGATCACTCCCGGTTTATTATCTATACAAACCGTACCAGCAATCAAGCGGTTAATGTCATGTTTCTATTGTTCAGATACCAGAGGATAACTTGGATGAATCCCGCTTAAACTAAACAACACAATCAAAATGACTCAACAGTTAAGTATATTACACATTTTATCAAGTTCGGGATACGTGGACTCATTATATAGGCCTACACAATGCACAATATTCACAATTCAATATATTTGAAGCCCAATTAAGGTGTCGGCGTGGTCGATTTGGTAAAGTTCATGGTTGCTAAACCGGAAAGTATCGAGTTAGAACTATCGGGCAGATGAGGCTCGTTAGCTGGGGACAGCCACTCTTCAAGGAGAGACAAATCCAAAATCAAACAACTGCTGCCTTATATTTTGTTCTTTAGTTGTTTAGCAACATTTAAATAGTATGTATCGTTCTTTTTATATTTATCCGTTTATTCTGTAGACATGTCTAAATCAAACATCTCTTAAATTTAAATCTTTTACACATTGCTCGGGAGACTGCAGTTTATAGACTTCTTAGACAAAGTATATAATATAATTTTTATTTGAAGTTTATATTTCGTCATCTTATTAGGGCCTAGCATCGTCAGGCATTTTACAAGAGGGCTGTGTGTCACACTTTGCAACAACATTTCAAGTAAAGTCAGTTAATGTATGTTATGCTTCTGTTGGCTGTAAAGTGCGAACCGGCTCAATTGGTATCCATTTATTCTCATTACAGTACGTGTTTAAGAGTTGTTATTTAAATTGACCATGGTTTGTATAAATTAGGTTGAGGCTATTTGCATATTACCACGCTCCATTACGGCTGAAGTTCTAAATCGCAAACGAGAGTGGAAGATATAAGTTTAAAGTAAACAAGAAGTTGTAATTGGCCAGCTAGACCAGATGTTGTTATTGGCCAGCTAGACCAGATGTTGTTATTAGCCAACTACGCCAAAAGTTGTAAATGACATGGCCAACTAAGCTGTAGATGGCCTTCGAGAACATATTGTAAATGGCGAGCGAGTACAAAATCTGTAAATTCTCATATACGCTAAACAATTAATTTGTCATTACAGGACTTCTAGAAATTATATATATATATATTAGAGGCGTAGCGAGGGGGGTGCGGACCGTACCGGGTGACACCATTTACGGGGGTGACACCAAGGCAAAAAATAGCAAAATATATAGAGAAACACTTGAGGGGGGGGGGGGTGCAAATCGAGAATTTGAAAGTTTGTTCCCGGGAAGGGTCACTACGCCTCTGGGGGGTGACACCATTAAGTGCCGCACCGGGTGACACCCGACCTGGCTACGCCACTGATATATATATATATATATATATATATATATATATATATATATATATATATATATATATATATATATATATAGCCTACTTTGTGTGTTTGTGTGTTTGTTTTACAAGCGCTAATGTGTGTTGGTTGAAAATGATTAGCGTGAGTGACATTTGTTGTAAAGTTTGTAAAGAACTTTTCAGCTCGCACTAATTTGCATGTTTTTGTATGTAAATTTGCTAGAGCAGCGTGACCAATTACCATGCGCTAATTACCTCCAGTAAAGTTCTCTACGATTAGAAGTTCGCGTCTTTCATGAACTTTTTTTTATAAACCTTTCACCATTGTGTTGGCTGGGCGTGTAGAATTCAGTCCTTGAAAGTTGAGTTTTATTTAACACGAGATTTATCATATTGAAATTGGCTTAATATGTAGACCTAGTTACAAAGTTTTTATTTTCCTTGTAACGAGTTTCTTCCGCTTTTTCATAATGTTCCGCATTGTAGGGAAACGTAAATTAATTTTATCACGGCGCAAGTTTAAATCTTTATTTTTAAATAATTATGATTAAAAAATTAAAAAAAAAACCCACGTTTTCTGATTGAACTAAAAAGTAGAAAATAAATGCTATACATCACAATAATGCAAGCGATCACTCTACTATAAGCGATGAAAAACGTGGGGCGCCGAAGTAAAAGTTATATTACTATTGATTAGATAATACTATTGACTTTTATTAGGGAGCTTGTAGAGAGTCAACAGTATTAGAAACTGTAAGAAAATCACGGCGCCCCACGTTTTTCATCGCTTATAGTAGAGTGATCGCTTGAATTATTGTGATGTATAGCATTTATTTTCTACTTTTTAGTTCAATCAGAAAACGTGGGTTTTTTAAAACTTTTTTAATGATAATTATTTTCTACTTTTTAGTCTTTTGTCTGTTTGTTTGCATTAAAATCTTGCTATAGATTTTGTCTTTTCGCATTCACTTTTTTTGGGTAAACGAAGACAACTCGTAAAAAACACGTGCCTTGAACCCGTGTCGAGTAGGTTAGCAATCGTGTGCCCCACCACTCGACCATATCGTCTCCCCCATACTGGCCACCAGTTGTTGCGGTTGTTTGTACACAAACACCACGTGAACACTACTCAGTAAGAAAAAGAGGGAGAGTACCGAACCTTGTTTTCATCAAATTACAATTACTGGGTTATGTCCATTTTCCCCCCACGTTTTTTTAAAAATAAATATATAGCGGTCTAAAATGATCAATAAAATGTTTCCTTGGATCAATTTAGTAATTTTAACAATTGAATATTCTATTGTCATCGGAAACAAAGCTTCCCTGAAAATTTCAGCGCGCTAGCTAACTGGGAAGTGCCCGAAATTTCGATCGCAAGATTTGATTGGAAAGACGCGAAAGCAAGTTAAAGAAAACGTGGTAAAAAATGGCTTTATATAATACGAGCCGACCTGCGACGTAGCATACGCCGCTATTTAGTTGTTTTATTTTCCACTTTCAGTAATTCATAATTTGTGAATTCGACACTACCAATGCAGCGACTGAAACTGTTTTGCTTTAAAACACTATCAGTAGCTCGTGAAGGACGATTATCCCCACCCTCACTTTCCACCCACATCCACCTCCGTGAAAGCCGCCGTCCGTGACGAAAGTTTACAGACGAAAATGAAAAGATCAAGCAGAACTTGTTATTACCTCCCCTTAGTGTCAAATCATTTAAAAACAAAATTATCTGCCCTAATTCGCCCCGGCTCTACAATTGTAAACATTTAGTGTTGACCATTGCTCAACAGACTGGTGGGGTGGGGTTGGTAGCAATATGCCTAGAGAGCGGGGTAGTAACGGCTAAAGACTTACTTGGTGGTGTCTCGCATGGACCAACTTTAAATCTACCACCATCCTACTGTATTTCTAGCCCAAGTTTTAATTGACCAATAAGCTTTGATCAAGGGACGGTGTGGTCGAATAATAGACCTTTCAACTGCTATCAGGGGTCGGCGTAGTCGAGTCGCTAAAGCTCATGGTTGCTAAACCGAAAAGTCTCGAGTTCGAACTCTCGGGCAGACGAGGCTCGTTAGCTGGGGACAGCCACTCTTCTAGGAGAGACAACTCCAAAATCAAACATCTGCTGCCTTGTAATTTGTTCTTGGTTGGATAAAGGCTATGAAAGCAAATCCAAAAAGAAAAGCAGGCTGAAATCGGAGTCAATGGCTTCAATGGCCCATAACCAGTTGACACGTAATCCTTAATTGTGATTGAAGCATGGTCGAGTCGGCAAAGCTCATGGTTGATAAATTCGAAAAAAAAGTCTCGAGTTCAAACCCTCTGGCAGATAAGGCTCGATCCATCCCAACACTAAACATTAAGAACGAAGAAGAAAAAGAACTGCTATCACAAAAGTCTCGAGTCCGGATCCCGGGCTTACGTCCATACGACGTCCCACATCACCCAGCATTCGTTGGTATCTTGTAAAGGTGGCTGGGCATTGTGTTGACCACAATAAAAAATGTAAGAATCAAAATGGTACTTTACTTCACTTTAATAAACTATAATATAACATATTTTTCGTTGTTTTTCATGTCATAAACTGACGAACTATATTTCAGCATATCCCGTTAAAGTCAACAATGGAAAGAATGCGAGCCATATGTCTGGTGCTGTCAGCCATTGTGTCCGGTAGTTCTGGCACCTGCACCAACTCTAACTGGACCATCAGCTTCGACAAGAGAGGCCACTCTAGCTGCACTGACAGCAACGCTAACATCCGAGGCCTGTACAGGGATTCTCGCAAGAGTCCCAACGAAGACCCCATCTCTAATTTGGACTTTGTCCGGTGCTGTGATCCACTAAGACCCTGGTTTCGTTCCCGTGTTAACATCGTCTACGCCAATTGGATGAGTCTCTTGAATAATAAAAACATCTGGGCCAAATGTCCTAAAGGATATTTTCTGCAAGGTTTGTACAGGGAGGATGGCAATGGCGTTAGCAACATTGAATTCGGGAAGTGTTCAAAACCGGTCGATCACCCGCTTTACTACGGCGAATGTTATGAGCTAGACATTAAGACATCCTTCGATGACCTGGGATACACTCAATGCAACGACGGTTACTACATAACAGGGTTGTTTAAAGCGGAGTGTGACCAACTCAACTGTATCGACAAGCTCATGTGCTGTAAGATGGCGGAGAAACCTCAAGAACTGGATGAAACATTCAAAGTCAAGTCTTTAGTGATGGACAAGACGGTACCGCTGATAGCTAATTTAGCTTCAGTCTTAGGTTATGCCTGGTGTGCCAGCTGTATCGCTCTTTACGTTGGCCAAGATTACAGACGCAATGGGGACACATGGGTAGCGGATAAAGCCGGGCGATGCGAGGGCTACAAGAGCGACCAAAGGCTCAGCATCACCTATGGGGACTGGAGCTACGGGATTAAAGATATTAAGTACGGCGACCCGGTCATCTCTGACCTTGAGCCTGAAACCTACGACTCCGGCACTCTCATCAACAATGACGCCAACAATGCTTTGAAGTCTATCACCCGCACTGTGACGTCAGTGCGAAGCGTCACGCACACCACAGAAAGCGCTTTTAAAGACAGCCACGAGCTAGGAATTGAGGTCAAATACAACCCGCCCCCCATCGGTGGGATTAGCGGATCATCAGCGTACAAGTTCAACTACGAGAAATCAACGACAACAATAGACGAAAAAAAAGTAGAACAGACACAGAGTTTTCTGGTTAAAACTGATAAAGAACTCCCTCCTTATAGCTCGGTCAAGTGGCGAATTTCAATCTCCAAGACAAAAACCACGATTCCTTACACGGCGACTGTTATTGCCAGGTTTAGCGCGGAGCTTGGCGGATTTCTTCGCTGGGGAGGGAGGGCAGGTAGCCGGGATACAAACTACCATGTAGATTACAAAGGTAAGGACAGCAGACCGACCGTGAACTACAAGTTCGGGGACGCGAAAACGCCGTTTTACACAGCGCTGAAGAGACAGAGCGAAACCAATTCCAGACCATGGTTGTGGACAGAGATGCAGTCAGCTCAAGGGAATGCTGGGAATTATATCAGGCAATTAACCAACGAGAGTGAGTACGTGTTCACACTGAAAGGAAAGTTTGATGACGTCGTGGGCAAGCATGTTGACGTCACGTGGGAGGGGATGGAAGCAAATAGGTCGTCTGGTTAAAGAGAAACTAGTGACGACGATATTCACATGAATTAAAACGTCTCGCGAAAATTGTCAACTTAGCGAATTAAGCATAATACGGCATGACAGGTTAAGAAATGTCTTTGAATGACAGTCATTGAATTAGGTTTTATTGTTAGGAAGTTTGAATAAACTTTAAGACTTGCTAAAATGTGTCTTTTTTTTTCAAAATAAATAAACATTCCAGGTCTGTATGATTTACTACATCACATAATACATTTCGATACCTTTAGACAATGAGCTTGTGGTGAATATAAATATAAATTTGAAAAAAAAACTACCCAAATTGACACAGAACACGAAAGAGATGAAGAAAAGTGAACATATTTAAGTTACATAATTTATTGTTTTTGTTATTTACTTTTACGTTAAGAGCAGCCTGATTTTAATTTTGAAATTGAATTTTTAAATTCTTAAATCTTTTACAAATTGAAGGATCTGTTAAAAACAAAAGGGAAAAAAATATACAAAAGCATGGGATGTTGTCTATAGAATAAAGATAATCCAACCGCAACTACTGTAATCTTTTTTTACAAAACAACCTTCAATTCAAAACTGCAAGAGAATTTTGGGCTTTGGGCCCCTAAATGGCGTGCCCCCCCCCCTCCCGTATTGCGGGGTCTGGCGGCACTGTAGTTCCGCCCCTGCATCAGGGACTCTTTTGAAAATATGGTTGCCATGGCAACGGCGGCCATCTTGAAAAAAACATCCTTTACTGGAGTTCTAAAATTTCATAAACTAATATATATATCGACTATATAACCATTGATCCTTCTTGTACTAACACTAATAGAGTCAGCTGGCTAGTTGGGTAACAGAAATCACTCTAGAATTTAAAAAAAAATTCTTTCTAAATTTAGTGTGGCGAAATTCCATTGAAATAAATGATAAATTAATGTAAACAATGATTTTTACTCAACATTCCACAAATCACAAATTGTTAATTTCTACAATGTACAAATGCTTTTGTAAATGATTGATTTTGAAGAAATCAGCTTTTTAATATTTTTTGTTAACTAAAATTAGGATTTTCGATAAGTTACAATTAAAAACTTTATTTTAATTTATACCTTTTACAACAAAAATCACTTTACTACTTTTCCTTTTTTTAACAAGTTTTTAATTTATTTATTTAATGTTTTTTTTTTAATAAACAGTTCGAAACCAAATTTATGTTAAGGACATGGGCGGGTGTACTTTTCGTCATAAATCCACTAAATCATTGATTTCCCACTTTTACTTGATCTATACAGAAAAACCATCGTTGAATCTAAAAATGACATTGTTATGACCCTAAAAACAGTATTTATTTATAAAAAACCGGGTTCAAAGTAGTGTGTACAGGGTCATTTGTTATTTTTTTGGTAAAAATAGCCATTTTTCGACCTAGAAAAGTACTATTAGGCTTCACGGAAACCTAATGTGTTTCATATCAATGGAAAGGCCGTGACCTCGTTTCTTTATTTGTTCTAAAATTAAAGGACCAATCAAAATACTTATTTTAATGTGATTATTTTTCTACGTCATAAAGTTGTTTATTTTATTCAGTCGGGTTTTTCCGGTATGCAAATTTTTGACCTCAATTTTTTCATTGGCGTTCGACGGCGGAAGCTAGTTAGCGATTGGTCGTTTTGCTTCGTAAGTAAACATTCCCTTAGTTTCAGCGCGTTGCTAAGTTTGATCTAGTTTTGTATCTCTAAGCTTCTGTGAAATACTTACATTATTTTAACTTATAATTATTTCAATTAAATATACTATTAACAGTTTAGATTAGTTTGTGTGAATTATCATAAGCAGTGAGACGATTTAATTTGTTTCTCTTTCGATAATGGGTAGAACAAAACACTCGCTAAAAATAGATACACACAAACATCTAACTAATTTACTAAAGCAAGGGCACGTCCGAATGCAACTGATTGCAGCTACCTCTACTCAATCTAGCACTATTCAGACAAGCACTGGTGCAGATGTAATATGCACATTTACTAAGAAACTGCGACAATGTAAGACACAGTTTTTACAGACAGAAGAAAGCACTGTTACATCTAGTACTGGTAGTGCTAATTGTAAACCACAGCCATGCAAATTATTGTCGAATGTGATTTGCTTCTTGATGTTATCAATACATTTCCTCGCCCACTGTGATGTAGTGGCTACTATTAATGAAAACAGTGTAAAGGGTTTGCTTCAAGCATGGTGTGGCAGTAATAAAAATGTTGTAAACCGTAAGTATACAACTGCAAAAGAATCCAGAACAAGGCCATTCACAATAAACAAAGACATCGTCTTATCATAATTGGCTTTAGCAGTGGCGTAGGCAGGGGGGGGGGGGGGTAGGGGGGGGTCATAACCCCCCCCCCCCATAGACCCCTCGGTATATATAATCGAAAGTTTGAGGGGGGGGGGGGGCAAATCGAAAGTTTGAGGGGGGGTGCAAATGGAAAGTTTGTCCCCGGGTAAAAATTGGAACCCCCCCCCTTGAGACGATCCTGGCTACGCCTCTGGGCTTTACACATGAGACCATGCAAAATATACTGCTGTTTCTGCGATAGCATAATTCAATTTTGGGCCCAGGCATGTTATGGCATTGCTGTCAAAAGAAGGAAACCATAGTCGAAGACTCAATGAAGGACGCCAAAAAAAGACGCGTTGACAACAGCTTTTCTAAAGCTCTAGGTAAAACAAAGAGCGCCAGAAAAAAAGAAAACTAACAGCTGAACAAGCTCAGAAGGAATATATTCAGCAGCACCATACTTCAGGCTATGAATGTGGTCGATTTTAGTGACATACAGCTGTAAATTTTCATTTTTTGCAACTTTTTGTTGGTTTTTTGCGTTTTTCTCAATTTGATGTTTTTTTGTACAATTGTTGAAATAACTTTGTTAATAATTATCAGAACTGAACTAAATTTGCTCCAGTTACTCTGTATATATGTTCAAATAAAACGTATTGAACACTTTTGGAATTTTTGTAAAGATTTTTTTTTTATTGTTTAAATAGTGAAAAAATTGGACGAAATAATGACATTTTTACAGTGATGTATCGAAAAAAAAAGTAAAAAAAAAACTATCCTCTTTTTTTAAAATGTAATCAATAAGAAGTCTTAAACACATGTGTCTGCAGATTATATTAAGTTTTCATGAAATTTGTACAAACCATTTTTGAGTTATTTCCATTTAAAAATCGTCAATAAAATCCAATATGGCCGCCGTCACCATGGCAACGGAGGATTTAAAAAATTAAAAAAAATATTTTTATGCTTAACTCTTTGAGTTATAACTATTAGCCAAGTATTACATCTTTAGACTTGGAAATAAAGAAGTTGGTACTCATCACCCGCCCATGCCCTTAAAGATAAATCAGATTGCCGGTCAGGTTTTTTTTTGTTGTAGCAAATAAGAAACCCTGAATATATTAGACCAGCAATCGCAACCCGCGCGTTGCTGCGGTCTCAGAATAAACATATTTTTATTGAAACATAAAAAAACCATTTTAAAATGAAAATATGATGAAATTCAACGTACATTTATATTGATACACATGTATCTTTACTAATGGTGTATTTTGGTGATAAAATGAAATATACATTTGTATTAGAACACATTTATCTTTACTAATGGTGTATTTTGGTGATAAAATTCAACTTACATTTGTATTGAAACACATATATCTTTACTAATGGTGTATTTTGGTGATAAAATTCAATGTACATTTGTATTGAAACACATGTATCTTTACTAATGGTGTATTTTGGTGATAAAATTCAATGTACATTTGTATTGAAACACATGTATCATTACTAATAGTGTATTTTGAGTCTCGTAATCTTACTCTCTATCATGTAAAAAAAGATGAAGATTGCGTCATTCTCAAAGTGACGAAAATCAGCAGGACTGCTTGTTTAACACGTTAAAAACTATTATTTGACGGTTTATGAGCGCCATATCGACTGAAGCGACTTGTTATGTAATGGTGTATTTTTAGAAGCGTGTTCTCAATTTCTGATTGGTGCATAAGTAGATTCAGACTGCGTCGTTCGCATAGGGGCAGGGAACTGTACAGAAGGGTTTCCTCACGTTACAAAGTTATTTGTAGAAGTGTGACTTTGTTTTTAAAAGAATGTTTGTTATTCTTTGTAAACAGTGTTGGTGATTTATTTATTTTTATTTGAAAAGCCCTGCGAAATTACATTTTTTTCTAATTATTTTTAGAGCTGTAGTCTTTGTTTTTTTATACTGATTTTGTTTTATAGACAAAGGGAAACAGCCAAGTTAATATTTTTGGGAAAAGTAATCTAAGCCTAGTTAATTCCTCTGAATATTAAAAATTCAATCATGTTCCTTATTTTTATTCTTGGGCCTTTTTTAGCCCTTGGGAACCGAGATTTAATTTTTTCCGCAGAAATCTTTCCATGAGCATTTTCAACAAATCCCAAAGTTTATCAGCGTATAGAGGAAAGGTATAGTATTGTACAAATGACATAACTACAACACCTACACACTCTCACACACACACTCTCTCTCTCCATTTCTCAACCACACACTTTCAATTTTTAAAAAAAGCTTTTAAAAAGAATAGTCATTGTTTTGTTCGTTTTTAAAAAAATAAACATATATCCAATGAATAATGTGCTACTTAAATGTTTTAAGGATAGGTTTAATTTCAAATGCTGGTATGTAAATTATGATGTCATTGAAGGCGTAGTCTCACCATATTTTTGATTATCCCTACGCATGAATGAACATTTCAAACCTTATAACCAATCATATACCATAAAGGAGAGATGGCGGGATCTGAAAAAACCCACGAAAGCAGCTCTGATGGGTACCTGCCTCAAGTTCGAGAAAGAATATAGGTAATTACAAAGCAACTGGAGTTCGCTCAGCTTCACAATTTACGGTGACGTTACAATCCTGTATCAACTACAGAGAAATATGGTCACACATTTATTAGTCTGTTAATATTTTTTAAATTTTATT